TCTCACCTGTGTCTGTGTGTGTCTCACCTGTGTCTGTGTCTCACCTGTGTCTGTGTCTCACCTGTGTCTGTGTGTGTCTCACCTGTGTCTGTGTTTCACCTGTGTCTGTGTGTGTCTCACCTGTGTCTGTGTGCGTCTCACCTGTGTCTGTGTGTGTCTGTGTGTGTCTCACCTGTGTCTGTGTGTGTCTCACCTGTGTCTGTGTGTGTCTCACCTGTGTCTCTGTTTCTCACCTGTGTCTCTGTGTCTCACCTGTGTCTGTGTGTGTCTCACCTGTGTCTGTGTGCGTCTCACCTGTGTCTGTTTGTGTCTGTGTGTGTCTCACCTGTGTCTGTGTGTGTCTCACCTGTGTCTGTGTGTGTGTCACCTGTGTCTGTGTGTGTCACCTGTGTCTGTGTGTGTCTCACCTGTGTCTGTGTCTCACCTGTGTCTGTGTCTCACCTGTGTCTGTGTGTGTCAACTGTGTCTCTGTGTGTCTCAGCTGTGTCTGTGTCTCACCTGTGTCTGTGTGTGTCTGTGTGTCTCACCTGTGTCTGTGTCTCACCTGTGTCTGTGTGTATCTCACCTGTGCCTGTGTCTCACCTGTGTCTGTGTGTGTCTTACCTGTGTCTGTGTGTGTCAGTGTGTGTCTCACCTGGGCCTGTGTGTGTCTCACCTGTGCCTGTGTGTGATTGTGTATCACCTGTGTCTGTGTGTGTCTTTGTGTGTCTGTGTGTGTCTCACCTGTATCTGTGTGTGTCTCACCTGTGCCTGTGTCTCACCTGTGTCTGTGTGTGTCTCACCTGTGCCTGTGTCTCACCTGTGTCTGTGTGTGTCTCACCTGTGTATGTGTATGTCTCACCTGTGTCTGTGTGTGTCTCACCTGTGCCTGTGTCTCACCTGTGTCTGTGTGTGTCTGTGTGTCTCACCTGTGTCTGTGTGTGTCTCACCTGTGTCTGTGTCTCACCTGTGTCTGTGTGTGTGTCACCTGTGTCTGCGTGTGTCTCACCTGTGTCTGTGTGTGTCTCACCTGTGTCTGTGTCTCACCTGTGTCTGTGTGTGTGTCACCTGTGTCTGTGTGTGTCTCACCTGTGTCTGTGTCTCACCTGTATCTGTTTGTGTCTCACCTGTGTCTGCGTGTGTGTCACCTGTGTCTGTGTGTGTCTCACCTGTGTCTTTGTGTGTCTCTCCTGTGTCTGTGTCTCACTTGTGTCTGTGTGTGTCTCACCTGTGTCTGTGTGTGTCACCTGTGTCTGTGTGTGTCTCACCTGTGTCTGTGTGTGTGTCACTTTTGTTTGTGTGTGTCTCACCTGTGTCTGTGTGTGTCTGTGAGTGTGTCACCTGTGTCTGTGTGTGTCTCACCTGTGTCTGTGTGTGTCTGTGAGTGTGTCACCTGTGTCTGTGTGTGCTCACCTGTGTCTGTGTGTGTCTCACCTTTGCCTGTGTCTCACCTGTGTCTGTGTCTCACCTGTGTCTGTGTGTGTCTCACCTGTGTCTGTGTGTGTCTCACCTGTGTCTGCGTGTGTGTCACCTGTGTCTCTGTGTGTCTCAGCTGTGTCTGTGTCTCACCTGTGTCTGTGTCTCACTTGTGTCTGTGTCTCACCTGTGTCTCACCTGTGTCTGTGTGTGTCACCTGTGTCTCTGTGTGTCTCAGCTGTGTCTGTGTCTCACCTGTGTCTGTGTCTCACCTGTGTCTCACCTGTGTCTGCGTGTGTCTCACCTCTGTCTGTGTGTGTCTCACCTGTGTCTGTGTGTGCCTGTGTTTGTCTCACCTGTGCCTGTCTCACCTGTGTTTGTGTTTGTCTCACCCGTGTCTGTGTGTGTCTCACCTGTGCCTGTGTCTCACCTGTGTCTGTGTGTGTCTCATCTGTGCCTGTGTCTCACCTGTGTCTGTGTGTGTCTCACCTGTGTCTGTGTGTGTCTCACCTGTGTCTGTGTGTGTCTGTGTGTGTGTCACCTGTGTCTGTGTATCACCTGTGTCTGTGTGTGTCTGTGTGCGTCTCACCTGTGTCTGTGTGTCACCTGTGTCTGTGTGTGTCTCACCTGTGTCTGTGTGTGTCTCACCTGTGTTTGTGTGCATCTCACCTGTGTCTGTGTGTGTCTGTGTGTGTCTCACCTGTGTCTGTGTGTGTCTCACCTGTGTCTGTGTGTGTCTCACCTGTGTCTCTGTGTCTCACCTGTGTCTGTGTGTGTCTCACCTGTGTCTGTGTGCGTCTCACCTGTGTCTGTGTGTGTCTGTGTGTGTCTCACCTGTATCTATGTGTGTCTCACCTGTGTCTGTTTGTGTCTGTGTGTGTCTCACCTGTGTCTGTGTGTGTCTCACCTGTGTCTGTGTGTGTGTCACCTGTGTCTGTGTGTGTGTCACCTGTGTCTGTGTGTGTCTCACCTGTGTGTGTGTCTCACCTATGTCTGTGTCTCCCCTGTGTCTGTGTCTCACCTGTGTCTGTGTGTGTCTCACCTGTGTCTGTGTGTCTCACCTGTGTCTGTGTGTGTCTCACCTGTGTCTGTGTCTCACCTGTGTCTGTGTGTGTCTGTGTGTGTCTCACCTGCGTCTGTGTGTGTCTCACCTGTGTCTGTGTGTGTGTCACCTGTGTCTGTGTGTGTTTCACCTTTGCCTGTGTCTCACCTGTGTCTGCGTGTGTCTCACCTGTGTCTGCGTGTGTGTCACCTGTGTCTGTGTGTGTCTCACCTGTGTCTGTGTGTGTCTAACCTGTGCCTGTGTCTCACCTGTGTCTGTGTGTGTGTCACCTGTGTCTGTGTGTGTCACCTGTGTCTGTGTGTGTCTCACCTGTGTCTGTGTCTCACCTGTGTCTGTGTCTCACCTGTGTCTGTGTGTGTCACCTGTGTCTGTGTGTGTCTCACCTGTGTCTGTGTGTGTCACCTGTGTCTCTGTGTGTCTCAGCTGTGTCTGTGTCTCACCTGTGTCTGTGTGTGTCTGTGTGTCTCACCTGTGTCTGTGTCTCACCTGTGTCTGTGTGTATCTCACCTGTGCCTGTGTCTCACCTGTGTCTGTGTGTGTCTTACCTGTGTCTGTGTGTGTCAGTGTGTGTCTCACCTGGGCCTGTGTGTGTCTCACCTGTGCCTGTGTGTGATTGTGTATCACCTGTGTCTGTGTGTGTCTTTGTGTGTCTGTGTGTGTCTCACCTGTATCTGTGTGTGTCTCACCTGTGCCTGTGTCTCACCTGTGTCTGTGTGTGTCTCACCTGTGCCTGTGTCTCACCTGTGTCTGTGTGTGTCTCACCTGTGTCTTTGTGTGTCTGTGTGTGTCTCACCTGTATCTGTGTGTCTCACCTGTGCCTGTGTCTCACCTGTGTCTGTGTGTGTCTCACCTGTGCCTGTGTCTCACCTGTGTCTGTGTGTGTCTCACCTTTGTCTGTGTCTCACCTGTGTCTGCGTGTGTCTCACCTGTGTCTGTGTGTGTGTCACCTGTGTCTGTGTGTGTCTCACCTGTGTCTGTGTCTCACCTGTATCTGTTTGTGTCTCACCTGTGTCTGCGTGTGTGTCACCTGTGTCTGTGTGTGTCTCACCTGTGTCTTTGTGTGTCTCTCCTGTGTCTGTGTCTCACTTGTGTCTGTGTGTGTCTCACCTGTGTCTGTGTGTGTCACCTGTGTCTGTGTGTGTCTCACCTGTGTCTGTGTGTGTGTCACCTGTGTTTGTGTGTGTCTCACCTGTGTCTGTGTGTGTCTGTGAGTGTGTCACCTGTGTCTGTGTGTGCTCACCTGTGTCTGTGTGTGTCTCACCTTTGCCTGTGTCTCACCTGTGTCTGTGTCTCACCTGTGTCTGTGTGTGTCTCACCTGTGTCTGCGTGTGTGTCACCTGTGTCTCTGTGTGTCTCAGCTGTGTCTGTGTCTCACCTGTGTCTGTGTCTCACTTGTGTCTGTGTCTCACCTGTGTCTCACCTGTGTCTGTGTGTGTCACCTGTGTCTCTGTGTGTCTCAGCTGTGTCTGTGTCTCACCTGTGTCTGTGTCTCACTTGTGTCTGTGTCTCACCTGTGTCTCACCTGTGTCTGCGTGTGTCTGACCTCTGTCTGTGTGTGTCTCACCTGTGTCTGTGTGTGCCTGTGTTTGTCTCACCTGTGCCTGTCTCACCTGTGTTTGTGTTTGTCTCACCCGTGGCTGTGTGTGTCTCACCTGTGTCTGCGTGTGTCTCACCTGTGTCTGTGTGTGTCTCACCTGTGTCTGTGTCTCACCTGTGTTTGTGTCTCACCTGTGTCTGTGTGTGTCACCTGTGTCTGTGTGTGTCTCAGCTGTGTCTGTGTCTCACCTGTGTCTGTGTGTGTCTGTGTGTGTCTCACCTGTGTCTGTGTGTGTCTCACCTGTGCCTGTGTCTCACCTGTGCCTGTGTCTCACCTGTGTCCATGTGTGTCACCTGTGGCTGTGTGTCTCACCTGTGTCTGTGTCTCACCTGTGTCTGTGTGAGTGTCACCTGTGTCTGTGTCTCACCTGTGTCTGTGTGTGTCTCACGTGTGCCTGTGTGTGTCTGTGTGTGTCTCACCTGTGTCTGCGTGTGTCTCACCTGTGTCTGTGTGTGTCTGTGTGTGTCTCACCTGTGTCTGTGTGTGTCTCACCTGTGTCTGTGTGTGTCTCACCTGTGTCTGCGTGTGTCTCACCTGTGTCTGTGTCTCACCTGTGTCTGTGTGTGTGTCACCTGTGTCTGCGTGTGTCTCACCTGTGTCTGCGTGTGTCTCACCTGTGTCTGTGTGTGTCTCACCTGTGTCTGCGTGTGTCTCACCTGTGTCTGTGTCTCACCTGTGTCTGTGTGTGTCTCACCTGTTTCTGCGTGTGTCTCACCTGTTTCTGCGTGTGTCTCACCTGTTTCTGTGTGTGTCTCACCTGTGTCTGTGTCTCACCTGTGTCTGTCTGTGTCACCTGTGTCTGTGTGTGTCTCACCTGTGTCTGTGTCTCACCTGTGCCTGTCTCTTATCTCCGTGCATCTCCCCATGTCTCTCTGTCCCCCCCACCCGTGTCCTCCCCCCCGTGCCCCCCCCTTGTCCCCCCCCATGTCCCCCCCCCCCCCCCAGTGGAGGACCCCCCCCAGGCTGTGCTGCTTGTGGGCTGTGCTCCCAGCCGCTGGAGCCGGCCTCTCCGCTCGTGGCGTCCATGGGGCAGCTCTTCCACCCCCGCTGCTTCGTCTGTGCTCAGTGCTTCCAGCCCTTCCCAGACGGACTCTTCTACGAGGTCACGCCGTGGGGGGGGGGGGGGCACGTGGGGGGGGGGGTCACGTGGGGTGGGGGGGTCACGTGGGGGGTCACGTGGGGGTGGGGAGATGGAGAGAGACACGGCGAGAGACGCGGGGAGGGACACTGAGAGAGACACTGAGAGAGACGGGGAGAGACGCGGAGAGAGACACTGAGAGAGACGCGGGGAGAGACACTGAGAGAGACACGGGGAGAGACACTGAGAGAGACGCAGGGAGAGAAGGGGGGAGAGACACTGAGAGAGACGGGGAGAGACGCGGGGAGAGACACTGAGAGAGACGCGGGGAGAGACACTGAGAGAGACACGGGGAGAGACACTGAGAGAGACGCAGGGAGAGAAGGGGGGAGAGACACTGAGAGAGACGGGGAGAGACACGGGGAGACACGGGGAGACGCGGGGAGAGACGCGGGGAGAGACACGGGGAGAGGCAGATAGAGAGACGGGGAGAGACACTGGGAGAGACACTGAGAGAGACGGGGAGAGATGCGGGGAGACGAGGGGAGAGACGCGGGGAGAGACACTGGGAGAGACACTGAGAGAGACGGGGAGAGACACGGGGAGAGACACTGGGAGAGACACGGGGAGAGGCAGGTAGAGAGACGGGGAGAGACACTGGGAGAGACACTGAGAGAGACGGGTAGAGAGACGGGGAGAGACACTGAGAGAGACGGGGAGAGACGCGGGGAGACGAGGGGAGAGACGCGGGGAGAGACACTGGGAGAGACACTGAGAGAGACGGGGAGAGAGACGGGGAGAGACACTGAGAGAGACGGGGAGAGACGCGGGGAGACGAGGGGAGAGACGCGGGGAGAGACACTGGGAGAGACACTGAGAGAGACGGGGAGAGACACGGGAAGAGACACTGGGAGAGACACGGGGAGAGGCAGGTAGAGAGACGGGGAGAGACACTGGGAGAGACACTGAGAGAGACGGGTAGAGAGACGGGGAGAGACACTGAGAGAGACGGGGAGAGACGCGGGGAGACGAGGGGAGAGACGCGGGGAGAGACACTGGGAGAGACGGGGAGAGAGACGGGGAGAGACACGGGGAGAGACACTGAGAGAGACGGGGAGAGACGCGGGGAGAGACACTGGGAGAGACACGGGGAGAGACACTGAGAGAGACACTGAGAGAGACGCGGAGAGAGACACTGGGAGAGACACGGGGAGAGACACTGAGAGAGACACTGAGAGAGACGCGGGGAGAGACACTGAGAGAGACACTGAGAGAGACACGGGGAGAGGCAGGTAGAGAGACGGGGAGAGACACTGAGAGAGACGCAGGGAGAGACACTGAGAGAGACACTGAGAGAGACGGGGAGAGACACTGAGAGAGACACGGGGAGAGGCAGGTAGAGAGACGGGGAGAGACACTGAGAGAGACGCGGGGAGAGACACTGAGAGAGACACTGAGAGAGACGGGGAGAGACGCGGGGGGAGACGCGGGGAGGGACATGGGGAGAGACACTGAGAGAGACGGGGAGAGACGCGGGGAGAGACACTGGGAGAGACGGGGAGAGACACGGGGAGACACTGAGAGAGACACGGGGAGACACTGGTAGAGACACTGGGAGAGACACTGAGAGAGACACTGGGAGAGACACTGGGAGAGACACTGAGAGAGACGGGGAGAGACGCGGGGAGAGACACTGGGAGAGACGGGGAGAGACACGGGGAGACACTGAGAGAGACACTGGGAGAAACACTGAGAGAGACACTGGGAGAGACACTGGGAGAGACACTGGGAGAGACACTGAGAGAGACGGGGAGAGACATGGGGAGAGACACTGAGAGAGACGGGGAGAGGCAGGGAGAGAGACGGGGAGAGATGGGGAGAGAGACGGGGAGAGACACTGAGAGAGACACTGAGAGACACTGGGAGAGACACGGGGAGAGACACTGGGAGAGACACTGAGAGAGACGGGGAGAGACACGGGGAGAGAGATGGGGAGAGACACGGGGAGAGGCAGGGAGAGAGACGGGGAGAGACACTGGGAGAGACACCTGGAGAGAGACACGGGGAGAGGCAGGTAGAGAGATGAGGAGAGACACGGGGAGAGACGCGGGGAGAGAGATGGGGAGAGGCTGGGGGAGAGACACAGGGAGAGACACAGGGAGACACGGGGAGAGACTGGGAGAGACACGGGGAGGCGCGGCGAGAGACACCGTCAAACGCTGGGAGACGCTGGGAGACAATAATGTTTGTCTGTGTGGTATCTGTGTGGTGTCTGTGTGGTGTCTGTGCGGTGTCTGTGTGGTGTCTGTACGGTGTCTGTGTGGTGTCTGCCCGGTGTCTGCACGGTGTCTCTGCGGTGCAGTTTGAGGGAAGGCGATACTGTGAGCACGATTTCCAAATGCTCTTTGCTCCGTGCTGCGGAGAGTGCGGTACGTAGAGACACGGTGACACACGGGTGACACACGGGGAGACACGGGGAGACACGGGGACTCACCAGGACACACCGGAACACACAGGGAGACACGGGGACACTGGAACACACGGAGAGACACGGGGACACACTGAGACACACTGAGAGACACGGGGACCCACTGGGACACACGGGGAGACACGGGGACCCACTGGGACACACGGGGAGACACGGAGACCCACTGGGACACACGGACAGACACGGGGAGACACGGGGAGACACGGGGACTCACTGGGACACACGGAGAGACGCAGAGAGACACGGGGAGACACGGGGACTCAAAGGGACACACGGGGAGACACGGGGACTCACCGAGACACACGGGGAGACACGGGGAGACACAGGGACTCACTGGGACACACGGAGAGACGCAGAGAGACACGGGGAGACACGCGGACTCAAAGGGACACACGGGACTGACTGTGACACTCGGGGAGACACGGGGAGACACGGGGACTCACCGAGACACACGAGGAGACACGGGGAGACACGGGGAGACACGGGGACTCACTGGCAAGACAGGTGTCCCTTGTTGTAGCTCCTCTCACCCCGAGCTCTAAATGCCCTGAGAGTGGCATGGCCGTGATGCTGTCCACAAGGCGGTGAGACTGGGCCATGCAGAATGTCACTGGTGTAGGTCATTAAACACAATGCCACACCATTGTTATTGTCACATTATTATTAAATACAATACCATTGTTATTGTCACATTATTATTAAACACAATGCCATGCCATTGTTATTGTCACATTATTAAACACAATGCCATACCATTGTTATTGTCACATTGTTAAATACAATGCCATACCATTGTTATTGTCACATTATTATTAAATACCATACCATTGTTATTGTCACATTATTATTAAACACAATGCCATACCATTGTTATTGTCACATTATTAAATACAATGCCATACCATTGTTATTGTTACATTATTATTAAACACAATGCCATACCAATGTTATTGTCACATTATTACATACAATGCCATACCATTGTTATTGGCACATTATTATTAGACAATGCCATGCCATTGTTATTGTTTACATTATTATTAAACACAATGTCATGTCATTGTTATTGTCACATCATTATTAAACACAATGCCATACCATTGTTATTGTCACATTATTATTAAATACAATGCCATGCCATTGTTATTGTCACATTATTATTAAATACAATGCCATACCATTGCTATTGTCACATTATTATTAAATACAATGCCATACCATTGTTATTGTCACATTATTAAATACAATGCCATACCATTGTTATTGTCACATTATTATTATTATTAAACACAATGCCATACCATTGTTATTGTCACATTATTACATACAATGCCATACCATTGTTATTGTCACATTATTATTAAATACAGTGCCATACCATTTTTATTGTCACATTATTATTAAATACAATACCATACCATTGTTATTGTTACATTATTATTAAATACAATGCCATACCATTGTTATTGTCACATTATTATTAAACACAATGCCATACCATTGTTATTGTCACATTATTAAATACAATGCCATACCATTGTTATTGTCACATTATTATTAAATACAATGCCATGCCATTGTTATTGTCACATTATTATTAAACACAATGCCATACCATTGTTATTCTCACATTATTATTAAACACAATGCCATACCATTGTTATTGTAACATTATTAAATACAATACCATACCATTGTTATTGTCACATTATTATTAAACACAAGGCCATACCATTGTTATTGTCACATTATTAAATACAATACCATACCATTGTTATTGTCACATCATTATTAAATACCATACCATTGTTATTGTCACATTATTATTAAATACTACAATACCATTGTTATTGTCACATTATTATTAAATACAATGCCATACCATTGCTATTGTCACATTATTATTAAACACAATGCCATACCATTGTTATTGTTTACATTATTATTAAACACAATGCCATACCATTGTTATTGTCACATTATTATTAAACACAATGCCATGCCATTGTTATTGTCACATTATTATTAAACACAATGCCATACCATTGTTATTGTCACATTATTATTAAACAATGCCATGCCATTGCTATTGTCACATTATTATTAAACACAATACCATACCATTTTTATTGTTTACATTATTATTGAACACAATGCCATTCCATTGTTATTGTCACATTGTTATTAAACACAATGCCATACCATTGTTATTGTCACGTTATTATTAAATACAATACCATACCATTGTTATTGTCACATTATTATTAAATACTACAATACCATTGTTATTGTCACATTATTTTAAATACAATACCATACCATTGTTATTGTCACATTATTATTAAATACAATGCCACACCATTGTTATTGTCACATTATTATTAAATACAATACCATACTATTGTTATTGTAACATTGTTATTAAATACAATGCCATACCATTGTTATTGTCACATTATTAAATACCATACCATCGTTATTGTCACATTATTAAATACAATGCCATACCATTGTTATTGTCACATTATTATTAAACACAATACCATACCATTGTTATTGTCACATTATTATTAAATACAATGCCATACCATTGTTATTGTCACATTATTATTAAATACAATGCCATTCCATTGTTATTGTCACATTATTAAACACAATGCCATACCATTGTTATTGTCACATTATTATTAAATACAATGCCATACCATTGTTATTGTCACATTATTATTAAATACAATGCCATACCATTGTTATTGTCACATTATTATTAAATACCATACGATCGTTATTGTCACATTATTAAATACAATGCCATACCATTGTTATTGTCACATTATTATTAAACACAATACCATACCATTGTTATTGTCACATTATTATTGAACACAATACCATAACATTGTTATTGTCACATTATTATTAAATACAATGCCATACCATTGTTATCGTCACATCATTAAATACAACATGACTCTAACAATGTGACATTATTGTTATTGTCACATGACTATAACAATGTGATATTGTTATTGTCACATTGTTATGATCACGTGACTATAACAATGTGACATTATTATTAAACACAATACAATACCATTGTTATTGTCACATGACTATAACAATGTGACATTATTATTATTGTCACATGACTATAACAATGTGACATTATTGTTATTATCGTCACATAACTCTAACAATGTGACATTATTATCATTATGATCACGTGACTATAACAATGTGACATTATTAAACACAATACAATACCATTGTTATTGTCACATGACTCTAACAATGTCACGTTGTTATGATCACATGACTATAACAATGTGACATTTTTGTTATTGTCACATGACTTTGTTATATTATTGTCACATGACTCTAACAATGTGACATTATTATCATTATGATCACGTGACTATAACAATGTGACATTATTAAACACAATACAATACCATTGTTATTGTCACATGACTCTAACAATGTCACGTTGTTATGATCACATGACTATAACAATGTGACATTTTTGTTATTGTCACATGACTAAAACAATGTGACATTATTATTATTGTCACATAACTCTAACAATGTGACATTATTATCATTATGATCACGTGACTATAACAATGTGACATTATTATTAAACACAATACAATACCATTGGTATTGTCACGTGACTATAACAATGTGACATTGTTATGATCACATGACTATAACAATGTGACATCATTGTTATTGTCACGTGACTATAACAATGTGACATTGTTATTGTCACATTGTTATTGTCACATGACTATAACAATGTGACATCATTGTTATTGTCACGTGACTATAACAATGTGACATTATTGTTATTGTCACATTACTATAACAATGTCACATTATTGTTATTGTCACATGACTATAACAATGTGACGTTATTGTTATTATTAAATACAACGTGACTCTAACAATGTGACGTTATCGCCGCTTGTGTCGCTGCTCAGGGGAGTTCATCGCGGGCCGTGTGATTCGAGCCGCGGGCCGCGCCTGGCACCCGGCCTGCTTCTCGTGCTGCCGCTGCCACTCCACGCTGGCAGAAGCAGGCTTCGTGCGCTCTGACGGCAGGTGGGAACACGCTTCACTCACGCTTCTCACACGCTTCTCTCACGCTTCTCCACGCTTCTCACACTCTTCTCTCACGCTTCTCACACTCTTCTCTCACGCTTCACTCACGCTTCTCTCACGCTTCACTCACGCTTCTCTCACGCTTCACACACGCTTCACTCACGCTTCACTCACGCTTCTCTCACGCTTCTTCACGCTTCTCACACTCTTCTCTCACGCTTCTCACACGCTTCTCTCACGCTTCACACACGCTTCACTCACGCTTCTCGTGCTGCTGCTGCCGCTCCACGCTGGCAGAAGCAGGCTTCGTGCGCTCTGACGGCAGGTGGGAGCACGCTTCACTCACGCTTCCCTCACGCTTCTCACACGCTTCTCACACGCTTCTCACACGCTTCTCGTGCTGCCGCTGCCGCTCCACGCTGGCAGAAGCCGGCTTTGTGCGCTCTGACGGCAGGTGGGAGCACGCTTCACTCACGCTTCTCACACGCTTCACTCACGTTTCTCGTGCTGCCGCTGCCGCTCCACGCTGGCAGAAGCAGGCTTCGTGCGCTCTGACGGCAGGTGGGAGCACGCTTCACTCACGCTTCCCTCACGCTTCTCACACGCTTCTCACACGCTTCTCACACGCTTCTCGTGCTGCCGCTGCCGCTCCACGCTGGCAGAAGCCGGCTTTGTGCGCTCTGACGGCAGGTGGGAGCACGCTTCACTCACGCTTCTCACACGCTTCACTCACGTTTCTCGTGCTGCCGCTGCCGCTCCACGCTGGCAGAAGCAGGCTTCGTGCGCTCTGACGGCAGGTGGGAACACGCTTCTCTCACGCTTCTCACACGCTTCACTCACGCTTCTCACACGCTTCTCACACGCTTCTCTCACGCTTCTCTCAGGCTTCTCTCATGCTTCTCTCACGCTTCTCTCACGCTTCTCTCACGCTTCTCTTACGCTTCTCTCACTCTCCACGCTAGCAGAAGCAGGCTTCGTGCGCTCTGACGGCAGGTGGGAACACGCTTCTCTCACGCTTCTCGCACGCTTCTCACACGCTTCTCTCACGCTTCTCACACGCTCCACACACGCTTCACACACGCTTCTCACACGCTTCTCACACGCTTCTCTCACGCTTCTCACACGCTTCTCACATGCTCCACACACGCTTCTCACACGCTTCACTCACGCTTCTCACACGCTTCTCACACGCTCCACACACGCTTCTCTCACGCTTCTCACACGCTTCTCACACGCTTCTCTCACGCTTCTCACACGCTTCTCTCACGCTTCACTCACGCTTCTCTCACGCTTCTCACACGCTTCACTCACGCTTCACTCACGCTTCTCACACGCTTCTCACACGCTCCACACACGCTTCTCTCACGCTTCTCACACGCTTCTCACACGCTTCTCTCACGCTTCTCTCACGCTTCACACACGCTTCACTCACGCTTCACTCACGCTTCTCTCACGCTTCTTCACGCTTCTCACACTCTTCTCTCACGCTTCACACACGCTTCTCTCACGCTTCACTCACGCTTCCCTCACGCTTCTCACACGCTTCTCACACGCTTCTCACATGCTTCTCGTGCTGCCGCTGCCGCTCCACGCTGGCAGAAGCCGGCTTTGTGCGCTCTGACGGCAGGTGGGAGCACGCTTCACTCACGCTTCTCACACGCTTCACTCACGTTTCTCGTGCTGCCGCTGCCGCTCCACGCTGGCAGAAGCAGGCTTCGTGCGCTCTGACGGCAGGTGGGAACACGCTTCTCTCACGCTTCTCACACGCTTCACTCACGCTTCTCACACGCTTCTCACACGCTTCTCTCACGCTTCTCTCAGGCTTCTCTCATGCTTCTCTCACGCTTCTCTCACGCTTCTCTCACGCTTCTCTTACGCTTCTCTCACTCTCCACGCTAGCAGAAGCAGGCTTCGTGCGCTCTGACGGCAGGTGGGAGCACGCTTCACTCAGGCTTCTCTCACGCTTCACTCACGCTTCTCTCACGCTTCTCTCACGCTTCTCTCATGCTTCTCTCACGCTTCTCGTGCTGCCGCTGCCGCTCCACGCTGGCAGAAGCAGGCTTCGTGCGCTCTGACGGCAGGTGGGAACACGCTTCTCTCACGCTTCTCACACGCTTCTCACACGCTTCTCTCACGCTTCTCACACGCTCCACACACGATTCACACACGCTTCTCACACGCTTCTCACACGCTTCTCTCACGCTTCTCACACGCTTCTCACATGCTCCACACACGCTTCTCACACGCTTCACTCACGCTTCTCACACGCTTCTCACACGCTCCACACAAGCTTCTCTCACGCTTCTCACACGCTTCTCACACGCTTCTCTCACGCTTCTCACACGCTTCTCTCACGCTTCACTCACGCTTCTCTCACGCTTCTCACACGCTTCACTCACGCTTCACTCACGCTTCTCACACGCTTCTCACACGCTCCACACACGCTTCTCTCACGCTTCTCACACGCTTCTCACACGCTTCTCTCACGCTTCTCTCACGCTTCTCACACGCTTCTCTCACGCTTCACTCACGCTTCTCACACGCTTCACTCACGCTTCACTCACGCTTCTCACACGCTTCTCTCACGCTTCTCACACGCTTCTCTCACGCTTCACTCACGCTTCTCACATGCTTCTCACACGCTTCACTCACGCTTCACTCACGCTTCTCACACGCTTCTCACACGCTTCTCACACGCTTCTCACACGCTTCTCACACGCTTCTCACACGCTTCTCACACGCTTCTCACACGCTTCTCACACGCTTCTCTCACGCTTCTCACACGCTTCTCACACGCTTCTCACACGCTTCTCTCACGCTTCACTCACGCTCCACACACGCTTCTCACACGCTCCACACACGCTTCTCACACGCTTCTCACACGCTTCTCACACGCTTCTCACACGCTCCACACACGCTTCTCACACGCTTCTCACACGCTCCACACACGCTTCTCACACGCTTCTCACACGCTTCTCACACGCTTCTCTCACGCTTCTCTCACGCTTCTCACACGCTTCTCTCACGCTTCACTCACGCTTCTCTCACGCTTCTCACACGCTTCTCTCACGCTTCTCTCACGCTTCTCACACGCTTCTCACACACTTCTCTCACGCTTCTCTCACGCTTCTCTCACGCTTCACACACGCTTCTCTCACGCTTCACACACGCTTCTCTCACGCTTCACACACACTTCACACACGCTTCTCTCACGCTTCTCACACGCTTCTCACACGCTTCTAACACGCTTCATACACGCTTCTCTCACGCTTCTCACACGCTTCTCTCACGCTTCTCACACGCTTCTCTCACGCTTCTCACACGCTTCTCTCACGCTTCTCACACGCTTCTCACACGCTTCTCTCACGCTTCACTCACGCTTCCCGCTCGCTTCACTCACGCTTCTCTCACGCTTCTCACACGCTTCACTCACGCTTCTTTCACGCTTCTCTCACGCTTCCCTCTCGCTTCCCGCTCGCTTCCCGCACGCTTCCCGCTCGATTCCCGCTCGCCTCCCGCTCGCTTCCCTCTCGCTTCCCGCTCCTCCTGTTTTTCTCATCCCGGTTGCTTGTGCTCTAAGGTCTTGCCGGGTTCTGTTTTGCCGCCAGGAACCTTTGCCACGCGTGCGGCGAGGAGCACCGCTGGCAGCGCTCCCAGCGGTTCCGCTGCCACCGCTGCCACGGCTCCATCGACGAGGAGCCGCTCGTGGTGGGCGGCGATCCTCACCACGCCCACCACTTCAACTGCTCCCAGTGCGGGTGAGAACACACACACACACATACACACACACCTACACACATACACACACACACATACACACACATACATACACACACACACACCTACACACACACACATACACACACACACCTACACACACACCTACACACATACACATACACACACAGATACACACATACACATACACACACATACACACACACACATACACACACACACCTACACACACATACATACACATACACACACACACACCTACACACACACACCTACACACACACACACCTACACACACACACACACACACCTACACACACACCTACACACACACACACACCTACACACACATACATACACATACACACACACACCTACACACGTACACACCTACACACACACACACCTACACACACACACCTACACACACACCTACACACACACACACACCTACACACACACACATACACACACCTACACACACACACACCTACACACACATACACACGTACACACAAACATACACACGCACACACACACACCTACACACACACACACACCTACACACACACATACACACACACACGTACACACATACACACATACACACACGTACACACACCTACACACACACGTACACACACATACACACACACCTACACACCTACACACACACACCTACACACACATACACCTACACACACAGACACACACACCTACACACACACACACCTACACACACACACACGTACACACACACACACCTACACACACACATATATACACACAAACACACGCACCTACACACACCTACACACACATACACCTACACACATACACACACACCTACACACACCTACCTACACACACATACATACACACACATACACACACACATACACACACACGTACACACACACACATATACACACACCTACACACACACACCTACACACACACCTACACACACACACCTACACACACACACATACACACACACACACGTACACGTACACACACACACCTACACACATACACACACACACCTACACACGTACACACACACATACACACATACACACACACACGTACACACATACACACACCTACACACACACCTACACACACACATACACACACACACGTACACACACACATACACACACATACACACACATACACACATACACACACACGTACACACACACACACATAAACACACACACCTACACACACACACCTACACACACACCTACACGTACACACACACACATACACACACACGTACACACACACACACATACACACACGTACACACACACACATACACACACATACACACACATACACACACATACACACACACACCTACACACACACACCTACACACACACACATACACACACACACACCTACACACGTACACACACATCTACACACACACACCTACACAAACACACCTACACACACATACACACGTACACACACACGTACACACGCACACACACACCTACACACACACACACCTACACACACATACACACCCACACGTACACACATACACACATACACACACGTACACACACACCTACACACACCTACACACACACACGTACACACACACATACACACACACCTACACACACACACATACACACATACACACACACACCTACACACACACACGTACACACATACACACATATACACACACACATACACACATACACACACACACCTACACAGACACACGTACACACATATACAAAACAAACAAACAAAGATCCCCGTATAGCCTGTAACAGACTGTAGGGGCAAGTGCTGTTAGCGAGCACCTATGAAGGCCGGAACGGTACACGAGGGGGTGGGTGGCCAGCACCATGCCCGACCGCCTTTGTCTCCCTAGTGGCGATGTTTACACACCGCACCAGGTACTCATTTGAGGCTGAGTCGACCTAGGGGAGGCCCGGGACCGGTTCAGATAATCGTCACTGGTGTTGGCCGTGAGCGGGAATCGAACCCGGGTCGCCAGGTTCATAGTGCAGCGCGCTAACCGCTACACTATCGCTCCCACACACACACACGTACACACACACACGTACACACACACACACCTACACACACACACCTACACACACACACACCTACACACACACAACTACACACACGTACACACACACACGTACACACACACACACACCTACACACATACACACACACACCTACACACACACACCTAAACACACACACGTACACACACACACCTACACACACACACCTACACACACACACGTACACACACATACACACACCTACACACACACACACATACACACGTACATACACACATACACACACATACACACACACATACACACCTACACACACACATACACACTCACACACCTACACACATACATACACACACATACACACACACACCTACACACACACACCTACACACACACATACACACACACACCTACACATACACACATACACACACATACACACATACACACACATACACACATACACACACACATACACACATACACACACACACATACACACACACATACACACACACATACACACACACCTACACACACACATACACCTACACACACACACCTACACACATACACACACACCTACACACACACACGTACACACACACACACGTACACACACACACGTACACACACACGTACACACACACACGTACACACACGCACACACCTACACACACACACACACACCTACACACACGTACACACACACACACGTACACACACACACATACACACACACACACACCTACACACACACACACCTACACACACATACACACACACACACCTACACACACACACCTACACACACACACACCTACACACACACACACCTACACACATATACACACACCTACACACACACGTACACACACACACACGTACACACACACACACACGTACACACACACACACCTACACACACACACCTACACACACACACCTACACACACACACCTACACACACCTACACACACACACGTACACACACACATGCACACACACACTTACACACACACACACCTACACACACACACACACCTACACACACACCTACACACACACACACCTACACACACACACACACCTACACATACACACACACGTACACACACACACGTACACACACACACACATACACACACACACACCTACACACACACACGTACACACACACACACCTATACACACACACACGTACACACACACATACACACACACACACCTACACACACACACACGTACACACACACATACACACACACCTACACACACACACACCTACACACACACACGTACACACACACACGTACACACACACCTACACACACACACACACGTACACACACACACACGTACACACACACGTACACACACACGTACACACACACACACAACAACAACCGCCATTCGCCACTAAGTGGCGGTGACGTCACCACGACGCTTGTGCCAGGCTATGTGCACCGTGAGGCCACGTGAAGTGTCGAACGCCCGCTGGCAGGAGGTCACTGGGCAGACCCAGGTGCCACGGGTCGACTGACTGAGATGACTGGCTGATGCACCACCTGTGCCCCCTACTGTGCCAACCTGCTGTGCTTTAGCCACCCGGCGCTCCGCTCGTTGTTGTGAGTGTCGCTCCTCCGCCCTCCGTTGTTGTTGGAGGGCGACTGCCTCCAACTGCCCAGTAGCATCCTTCACGAGCCTCCTCCACAGAGGCCGATCTTGACACCGCTGGTACCAGTCATCGGCAAGTCCACTCAGCTCCACGTCCTCCTGTACCACATCACTCCATCTCTTCTCTAGCCCGTGCCGCGCCCGCTTAGCCCCCTCAATCCGGCCAAACAAAAGCTGTTTCGGCATGCGGTGGCTGGGCATGCGGGCTACATGACCCAGCCATCGCAGCCTTGCCTGCCGGAGGAGCTCACCGATGGGACCCTGCCCAGATCTTTCAAGGATTTGTGAGCTCCTCACACAATCCAGTCTGGTTAAACCCAGGATGGATCGTAGGCCGGCCAGCCTAAATGTTTCTAACCGGCAAAGATGTTCCATTAGGGGGGTCCACGTTTCGCAAGCGTAGAGAAGGGAGGGAATGACCGTGGCCGAGAAGACCTGAAGCTTAGTGCGGAGCGACAGACCAGGTAGCTTCCACACAGCGTTACGCAACCAATGAAAAGATATTGCCGCTCGACTGATTCGGAGTGAGACCTCTGCTGTTAAACTGGAGCCAGTCATAAGCACACTGCCCAGGTATGGGAAACTCTCCACTCTCTCCACAACTGCCCCATCACCGATTGGGAGTTGTGGGGGTGGAGTGTCCGATGGTACAAAATACCCAGGCAGGTGCTTAGTTTTGGTGGGGCTGATGGTAAGGCCCCACCTCTTAGTGGCACGCTCCAGTCTCAGCAGCAGCGTCTCCAACTCCTCCTCTGACTGAGCAGCTATTACCAAATCATCAGCATACATAACGTGGTTGAGCAATAGGGAGCCATCCCTTGACCGCACCCGGGCATCGATCAGCCTCCCATTATATCTGTACCATATGGAGACTCCCCCGGTACAGCTATTGAAGGCTTCACGAACTACGTGGTCAAAATAGATGTTAAATAATGTGGGAGCCAGAGGACATCCCTGTCGCACCCCAAGGTGTACAGGGAATGGCTCTGACTCCCGGCCACGTAGTTTTACCCGGGCCCGCTCACCATCATGAAGGTCCTTAATGATCGTGAGCAGAGGGTCAGGTACTCCAAAAGCACGAAGAACGACCCAGAGCCCAGGCCTACTGATGGTATCATAGGCCTTGACCAGGTCAATAAAGCAGAGATGTAGGTCTTGTTGGAATTCCCTACACCTCTGCTGTAGCAGACGGACAGAAAATATGGCATCTGTGCAGGACCGCCCTTTCCTGAAACCGCATTGGGGCTCCGCAAGCCTCTCCTCAGCGTGCCTGGCAAGGCGATGCTGAATAATCCTTGCCAGGACCTTTCCCGGTACACTGAGGAGTGAGATGCCCCTGTAGTTGTTACAGTCTGTGCCGTCCCCCTTCTTAAAAAGGGGGACCACCAGGGCATCCTTCCAATCCTGCGGAACCCGTCCAGTGGTCCAGACTGTTGTTATGATGTCATATAGGGCAGTCTGTGCACAAACGCCACCCTCCCTCAGCATTTCGCTTGGGAGATCATCTCTGCCCGCTGCCTTTCCTGGTCTCAGACTCCGGATCGCCTTCAATACTTCCTCAGCAGATGGCACCTCAGCCAGCCACTCACAGGGGGTGACTTCTTCCAATATTTGAGGCACCGCAGCCTCAGCAGGGTCATCCTCACTTTGTGCCACGATGTATTCCTGGCTGAGGGATTTTCCCTCCCACAGGACCTCAGAAATGCTCAGCAAATCTGCAAGAGATTGGATCACCGTTTTTTCCCCTAATGATGGTAATAGGTGTGGCGCTGCAGGTTACTTTTTTGATGGAGTTAAATAGAGATTTGTGATCACGGGCCACTGAGGCAGACTCCATCTCCTCAGCAACCCGCGACCACCACCCATCCTTGCAGCGCCTCACGGCTCTCCGAACCTCCGAGCGAAGGCTGCGGTAAGCCTCCTCATTCTCTGACGTGGGATTCTGTAGCCGATGACAGTGGGCCTGTCGCTTTTTCTCAACCATCCTGAACACCTCCTCTGTCAGCCAGGGTCTCTGGGGAGGTCTGGACCGCGTACCTAAAGCAGCCATTGCAGCTGCATGAGTCACAGTCCTAAACCTCACCAATTTACCCTCGACATCAGGAGGAGTCGGGGACGATGCCAATCCCAGCCGCAAGCGATGATGAAATTCTCGCTTGCAACTTTCATCAGATAACTGAGACCAGGCCACTTTATGTTGGAATGGGGTCCTGGGTGTACACCCACCACCAGAGTGGAAGAATGGCAGGCGCATCTTACAGATGACTAGTCGATGGTCAGAGGGCAGATCAGCTCCACGGTAGGTCCTGGTGTCAAGGACATGGGCTCGCATTCGCTGGTCCGACACTATGTAGTCCAGCAGATGTTCTTGCTTGGACCCGGCATGCATCCATGATGTTGTGTGGATGCGCCGATGCGGGAACAGCGTGTTGGTAATTACAAGCCCATGGGCTGCACAAAAATCTAGCAGCCTCCTACCGTTGTTATTGAGCTGATCTGGCCCATGCCCTCCAATCACTCCAGACCAGGTGCCAGTATCATGACCAACTCGGGCATTGAAGTCACCCAACATGATGACTCTATCCCGAGGGGCCACTTTAGCCAGCACCTGTGACAGGAGGTCATAGAAGGCATCTGACTCATCGGCTTTGCCTGCATCCCTCCACGGATGTTCATCTTCGGTGGGGGCATAAGTAACCACGACCACCATTCCTCGCCTCCGGTTGATGGGAAGGCGAGCCCAAAGTAGCCTGGGGCTTACAGCTTCCCACACCTCACCGCCACACTCCCACGCCCCCTTCATTCTTTTGTTCAAAAGAAGACCCACACCCTGTTGTTTGGCAGTCTGCTGCCCCGAGTAGAGGACTGTCCACCCCTCATGGTGGCAGGAGCCAGAGCCGGTCCACCGGACCTCCTGAATGCCGCATAGATCCAGGCGGTACCGGTCCAGCTCCCGACAGAGGAGTGGCAGCCTCTCCTCTGCAGTGAGCGTTCGAACATTCCACGTGGCCACCCGTAGTGGCTTTTCGTTGTTTCTGGAGTAGCCCCGAGGGTAGGTATTCAATCTCCTGGCTCCGCCAATTGGGGTTTGGCCAGGAGACGTCATAGATGCCTGGCCCCCCGGGGCCTCCGGCACAAGCTTATTAGTTACATATTTCAGTTTAATTCGTGGTTTCGTGGTAATTAATTGAAGGTGGAGGGGTTACCAGCCCCTCGCACCCGTCCAGAGCCCCCGTTTAGCCCCTGTGGTGGACATATATGTCATGAGGGGAGGAGCCAATCAAAATTGGATCTCCCCCCACAGCCCTGTCCACGACAGAGTTGCCCGTCCGGCACCGCGAGGAGGTAGGGGGTTGTTTTGCCGGATCACACACACACACGTACACACACACACACACCTACACACACACACACCTACACACACACACACACACCTACACACACGTACAGACACACACGTACACACACACACATACACACACACACACCTACACACACGTACACACACACACGTACACACACACACGTACACACCTACACACACACACCTACACACACACGTACACACACACACACGTACACACACACACACATACACACACACCTACACACACGTACACACACACACATACACACACACACGTACACACACGTACACACACACGTACACACACGTACACACACACGTACACACACACACACGTACACACACACACACGTACACACACACACACGTACACACACACGTACACACACACACACACCTACACACACACACACACACGTACACACACACACCTACACACACACACGTACACACACACACACACCTACACACACACATACACACCTACACACACACACCTACACACACACACACACGTACACACACACACCTACACACACACACACACCTACACACACGTACACACACCTACACACACACACGTACACACACAAACACGTACACACAAACACGTACACACACACACGTACACACACACACACACACTTACACACACACACGTACACACACACACACGTACACACACGCACTTGCCCCTACGGTCTGTTAAGGCTATACGGGGGATCTTTTTATCTTTGTCTTCCTATGTACGTGTGTGTGTACGTGTGTGTGTATGTACGTGTGGTGGTGGTGGTGAGTGGTGGTGAGTGGTGGTGATGGTGAGTGGTGAGTGGTGGTGGTGGTGAGTGGTGGTGAGTGGTGGTGGTGAGCGGTGTTGAGCGATGGTGAGTGGTGAGCGTTGGTGGTGAGCGTTGGTGGTGAGCGTTGTTGGTGAGCGTTGGTGGTGAGCGTTGGTGGTGAGCGTTGGTGGTGAGCGTTGTTGGTGAGCGTTGTTGGTGAGCGTTGGTGGTGAGCGTTGTTGGTGTGCGTTGTTGGTGAGCGTTGGTGGTGAGCGTTGTTGGTGTGCGTTGTTGGTGTGCGTTGTTGGTGAGCGTTGTTGGTGAGCGTTGTTGGTGAGCGTTGGTGGTGAGCGTTGGTGGTGAGCGTTGTTGGTGAGCGTTGTTGGTGAGCGTGGCTCTTCTCCTGCCGGCAGCAAGGAGCTGAGTGCCGGTGCTGCCCGTGAGACCCCCGCCGCTGGGCTGCTGTGCCTGCCGTGCCACGACAAGAGCGCCGTGCCCATCTGTGCCGCCTGCCGCAGGCCGGTGGAAGAGCGAATCGTCAACGCACTGGGCAAGCAGTGGCACGTGGAGGTGGGTGGTGGTGGTGGTGGGTGGTGGTGGTGGTGGTGGTGACGGTAGTGGTGGTGGTTGTGGTGATCATGGTAGCGGTGGTGGTGACGGTGGTGGTGGTGGCGGTGGTGACGGTGATGGTAGCGGTGGTGGTGACGGTGGTGGTAGTGGCGGTGGTGGCGGTGACGGTGGTGGTGGCGGTGGTGACGATGGCGGTGGTGGTGGTGGCGGTGGTGGTGGTGGTGGTGGAAGTGGCGGTGACGGTGGTGACGGTGGTGGTGACGGTGGTGGTGGTGACGGTGGTGGTGACGGTGGTGGTGGTGACGGTGGTGGTGACGCTAGCGGTGGCGGTGGTGTTGGTGACGCTAGCGGTGGTGACGGTGGTGGTGGTGACGGTGGTGGTGGTGACACTAGCGGTGGTGGTGGTGGTGACGCTTGCGGTGGTGGCGGTGACGGTAGCGGTGGTGGTGGTGGTGGTGGAACTGAGCCTACAGTGACTCCCCCCCACCCCCCCTCTGTTTGCACCACGGCCATAGCGAAACGTCCACGGTTCAAGTCAAAAAACAACAAAACACCAAAACAACAATTTAATATCCGTGGCCGCGAAAGCTCACGAGCTGGCGATGCGTTCGGAGCGACGCGGGGGGTGCCTCCTCCCTCCCCTAGGTCGACTCGGCCTCAACTGAGTGCCTGGTAAGCGGCCGGGCGTAATCGCCGGCCAACCCACGCCACGCCCCCATCGACCGCCAGGGTTGCCGGCCTTCGCCGCCGCCGCCGCCGCCGCCGCCGCTCGCTCACGGCACTTGCCCCGACGGTGTGGCGGAGGCTACGCGGGTGACCTTTGCATTTGCCTTTGTCCGCGGCGTTGTGTGTGCGCGGGGCAGCACTTCGTGTGCGCCAGGTGTGAGAAGCCGTTCTTTGGCACGCGTCACTACGAGCGGAGGGGGCTGGCGTACTGCGAGACTCACTACAACCAGGTGAGACGCTCGCCAGGTGAGACTCGCTACAACCAGGTGAGACTCACTACAGTCAGGTGAGACTCACTACAACCAGGTGAGTCGATCGCCAGGTGAGACTCACTACAACCAGGTGAGTCGATCGCCAGGTGAGACTCACTACAGTCAGGTGAGTCGATCGCCAGGTGAGACTCACTACAGTCAGGTGAGACTCACTACAACCAGGTGAGTCGATCGCGAGGTGAGACTCACTACAACCAGGTGAGACGATCGCCAGGTGAGACTCACTACAACCAGGTGAGATGATCGCCAGGTGAGACTCACTACAACCAGGTGAGATGATCGCCAGGTGAGTCTCACTATAACCAGGTGAGTCTCACTACAGCCAGCTGAGACTCACCACAACCAGGTGAGTCTCACCACAGCCAGGTGAGACTCACTACAGCCAGGTGAGACGCTCGCCAGGTGAGACTCACTGCAGCCAGGTGAGACACTACAGCCAGGTGAGTCTCACTACAGCCAGGTGAGTCTCACTACAGCCAGGTGAGACTCACTACAACCAGGTGAGTCGATCGCCAGGTGAGACTCACTACAACCAGGTGAGATGATCGCCAGGTGAGACTCGCTACAACCAGGTGAGATGATCGCCAGGTGAGACTCACTACAACCAGGTGAGGTGATCGCCAGGTGAGTCTCACTATAACCAGGTGAGTCTCACTACAGCCAGCTGAGACTCACCACAACCAGGTGAGTCTCACCACAGCCAGGTGAGACTCACTACAGCCAGGTGAGACTCACTACAGCCAGGTGAGACTCACTACAGCCAGGTGAGTCTCACTACAGCCAGGTGAGACTCACTACAGCCAGGTGAGTCTCACTACAGCCAGGTGAGACGATCGCCAGGTGAGACTCACTACAGCCAGGTGAGACTCACTACAGCCAGGTGAGTCTCACTACAGCCAGGTGAGTCTCACTACAGCCAGGTGAGTCTCACTACAGCCAGGTGAGACTCACTACAGCCAGGTGAGACGATCGCCAGGTGAGACTCACTACAGCCAGGTGAGACTCACTACAGCCAGGTGAGTCTCACTACAGCCAGGTGAGACTCACTACAGCCAGGTGAGACGATCGCCAGGTGAGACTCACTACAGCCAGGTGAGACTCACTACAGCCAGGTGAGTCTCACTACAGCCAGGTGAGATGATCGCCAGGTGAGACTCACTACAGCCAGGTGAGTCTCACTACAGCCAGGTGAGACGATCGCCAGGTGAGACTCACTACAGCCAGGTGAGTCTCACTACAGCCAGGTGAGATGATCGCCAGGTGAGACTCACTACAGCCAGGTGAGTCTCACTACAGCCAGGTGAGACGATCGCCAGGTGAGACTCACTACAGCCAGGTGAGTCTCACTACAGCCAGGTGAGACGATCGCCAGGTGAGTCTCACTACAGCCAGGTGAGTCTCACTACAGCCAGATGAGTCTCACTACAGCCAGGTGAGTCTCACTACAGCCAGGTGAGACTCACCTGGCTGTAGTGAGACTCACTACAGCCATGCAGTGTAGTAGTATATAATGTAGTGTAGTAGTATATAGTAGTGTAGTAGTATTTAGTGGTGTAGTAGTATATAGTGGTGTAGTAGTATATCATGTAGTATAGTAGTATATAATGTGGTATAGTAGTATATTGTGTCGTGTAGTAGTATATAGTAGTGTATAGTGTAGTGTAGTAGTATATAATGTAGTGTAGTAGTATATAGTGTAGTGTAGTAGTGTATAGTAGTGTAGTAGTGTATAGTGTAGTGTAGTAGTAGTGTAGTAGTGTATAGTGTAGTGTAGTAGTGTATAATGTAGTGTAGTAGTATATAATGTAGTGTAGTAGTATATAATGTACTGTAGTAGTATATAGTAGTGTAGTAGTATATAGTAGTGTAGTAGTATATAATGTAGTGTAGTAGTATATAGTAGTGTAGTAGTATATAGTAGTGTAGTAGTATATAGTGGTGAAGTAGTATATCATGTAGTATAGTAGTATATAGTAGTGTAGTAGTATATAGTAGTGTAGTAGTATATAATGTAGTGTGGTATATAGTAGTGTAGTAGTATATAATGTAGTGTAGTAGTATATAGTAGTGTAGTAGTATTTAGTAGTATAAAGTATTGTAGTAGTATATAATGTAGTGTAGTATATAATGTAGTGTAGTAGTATATAATGTAGTGTAGTAGTATATAATGTAGTGTAGTAGTATATAATGTGGAGTGGTATATAGTAGCGTAGTAGTTTATAATGTAGTGTAGTAGTATATAGTAGCGTAGTAGTGTAGTAGTATATAGTAGTGTAGTAGTATATCATGTAGTGTAGTAGTGTATAATGTCGCGTAGTATGGGCCTCCCCTAGTTCGACTCTGCCTGAAATGAGTCACCTGGTGCGGTTTGTCATAAACAGCGCCAACTGGGGAGACAAAGGCGGCCGGGCGTGGTGCTGGCCACCCACCCCCTCGTGTGCCACAGTGCCGGTAGCCTTCACAGGTGCTGCTCGCTAACAGCACTTGCCCCTACAGCCTGTTAGACGCTACACGGGGGACCTTTGTCTGTGTTTATAGGTGCTGCTCACTAACACCACTTGCCCTTATAGCCCTGTTAGAGGCTACACGGGGGGCCTTTGTCTGTGTGTCTATAGGTGCTGCTCGCTACTCACAGCACTTGCCTCTATAGCCCTGTTAGAGGCTACACGGGGGGCCTTTGTCTGTGTGTCTATAGGTGCTGCTCGCTACTCACAGCACCTGCCCCTACAGTCTGTTAGAGGCTACACGGGGGACCTTTGTCTGTGTGTCTATAGGTGCTGCTCGCTACTAACAGCACTTGCCCCAGCCTGGTAGAGGCTACACAGGGGACCTTTGTTTTTGTGGGTGGGGGGTGAGGGCTACTCACGTGAGAGGTTGTGTCTGCCCACAGATGTTTGGAGATGTCTGCTACCACTGCAACCACGTCATCGGAGGGGATGGTGAGCCAGCGTCAGAGCACCATCATCATCGTCATCATCGTCATCATCGTCGTCGTCATCATCGTCATCATCATCGTTGTCATCATCGTCGTCATCATCGTCGCCACTGTGACTACCATCAACAGGATCATCCCCGCACGTCTCACTGCGTGTCTCAATGTCATCGTGGGTTTTACCGAATGTCTCTGCATGTCTCAATGTCTCCGTGTGTCTCCACGTGTCTCTGGTGTCTCAATGTTCCCGTGTGTCTCTGTATGTCTCCGCGTGTCTCTGAATGTCTCAATGTCTCCGTGTGTCTCCACGTGTCGCAATGTCCCCGTGTTTCTCCATGTATCTCCGCGTGTCTCTGGGTGTCTCAATGTCCCCGCGTGTCTCTGCGTTTCTCTGTGTCCCCATGTGTCTACCGCATGTCTCTGAATGTCTCAATGTCCCCGCGTGTCTCCACGTGTCTCAATGTCTCCACGTGTCTCAATGTCTCCGCATGTCTCAATGTCCCCGGGTCTACTGCGTGTCTACCACGTGTCTCAATGTCCCCGTGTGTCCCCGTGTATCTCCGCGTGTCTCTGAGTGTCCCAATATCTCCGTGTGTCTCGACGTGTCACAATGTCCCCGTGTTTCTCCGCGTGTCTCAGCGTGTCTCAATGTTCCCGTGTGTCCCCGTGTGTCTCCGCGTGTCTCCGTGTCCCCATGTGTCCGAGTGTCCCCGCGAGTCTAACACGTGTCTCAATATCCCCACGTGTCTCCGCGTGTCTCAGTCGTGTCTGCGCTTAACAAGGCCTGGTGCATCTCCTGCTTCTGCTGCTCCACGTGTAGCACCCGGCTCACACTCAAGTAAGAGCCTCACGTCATCAGCAGCATCGCCATCAACATCGTCGCCATCAACATCGTCACCATCATAGCAAACGTCATCAGCTTGTTCGCTCCGTCTTCTGGGTGGGCGTTGAATTAACAGCTCCTGACTGTGCCCAGCGATTCCTAGCACCCTCTGCCCATTCACCATGCCAGCCGATGCCACACACAGAGGTCCACAGGCCGACACAGAGACCCACAGGCCGATACAGAGGCCCACGGACTCACAGAGGCCCACAGGCTCACAGAGAGACCCACGGGCTCACACAGAGGCCCACAGGCTCACACAGAGGTCCACGGGCTCACACAGAGGCCTACGGGCTCACACAGAGGCCTACAGACTCACACAGTGGCCTACGGGCTCACACAGAGGCCCACAGGCTCACAGAGAGACCCACGGGCTCACACAGAGGTCCACGGGCTCACACAGAGGCCCACGGGCTCACACAGAGGCCCACGGGCTCACACAGAGGTCCACGGGCTCACACAGAGGCCCACGGGTTCATACAGAGGCCCACGGGCTCATACAGAGGTCCACGGGCTCACAAAAAGCCCCACGGGCTCACACAGAGGCCCACGGGCTCATGCAGAGGCCCATCGGCTCATACAGAGGTCTATGGGCTAACAAAAATCCCCACGGGCTTACACAGAGGCCGACGGGCTCACACAGAGGCCCACGGGTTCACACAGAGGCCCACCGGCTCACACAGGTTAACTGATGCGGTGTGTAAACATCGCCGCTGGGGAGACAAAGGTGGCCGGGCGTGGTGTTGGCCACCCACCCCCTCGTGTGCCACAGTGCCGGTAGCCTTCATAGGTGCTGCAACAGTCTGTTAAGGCTTTACGGGGGGGGGTGGGGGGGGGGTCTTTGTCTCGTGTGGGTAGCAGTAGCACAGTGGTTGGTGGTTTGAGTCCCGCTCACGGCCACTGGTGGCAAATAAACCCATGGCAAACCCTCGCCACGGCACTTGCCCGGTGCGGCCTGTTCAGAAGCCTTACATGGGGGGGGGCGGGGGGGGGGGGGCGATCTTTGTCTCTGTGCAGGAACCGCTTTGTGGAGTTCGACATGAAGCCCGTGTGCAAGCGCTGCTACGAGAAGTTCCCCCTCGAGATGAAGAAACGCCTCAAGCGCCTCTCACGCATGGCCGTGAGCAAGTGACGCGACGTTGGGAAGAGGGGGGGGGGTGACAAGATGGCTGACGAGGGGGGTGACAAGATGGTTGACGAGGGGGGTGACAAGATGGCTGACGAGGGGGGCGACAAGATGGCTGGCGAGGGGGGTGACAAGATGGCTGACAAGGGGGCGACAAGATGGCTGACGAGGGGGGGTGACAAGATGGCTGATGAGGGGGGCGACAAGATGGCTGACGAGGGGGGCGACAAGATGGCTGACGAGGGGGGCGACAAGATGGCTGACGAGGGGGGCGACAAGATGGCTGACGAGGGGGGCGACAAGATGGCTGACGAGGGGGGACGACAAGATGGCTGACGAGGGGGGGTGACAAGATGGCTGATGAGGGGGGCGACAAGATGGCTGACGAGGGGGGGCGACAAGATGGCTGACGAGGGGGGCGACAAGATGGCTGACGAGGGGGGCGACAAGATGGCTGACGAGGGGGGCGACAAGATGGCTGACGAGGGGGGCGACAAGATGGCTGACGAGGGGGGCGACAAGATGGCTGACGAGGGGGGTGACAAGATGGCTGACAAGGGGGCGACAAGATGGCTGAAGAGGGGGGGTGACAAGATGGCTGATGAGGGGGGCGACAAGATGGCTGACGAGGGGGGCGACAAGATGGCTGACGAGGGGGGCGACAAGATGGCTGACGAGGGGGGTGACAAGATGGCTGACGAGGGGGGTGACAAGATGGCTGACGAGGGGGTGACAAGATGGCTGACGAGGGGGGCGACAAGATGGCTGACGAGGGGGGTGACAAGATGGCTGACAAGGGGGCGACAAGATGGCTGACGAGGGGGGGTGACAAGATGGCTGATGAGGGGGGCGACAAGATGACTGACGAGGGGGGCGACAAGATGGCTGACGAGGGGGGCGACAAGATGGCTGACGAGGGGGGCGACAAGATGGCTGACGAGGGGGGCGACAAGATGGCTGACGAGGGGGGTGACAAGATGGCTGACAAGGGGGGCGACAAGATGGCTGACAAGGGGGGCGACAAGATGGCTGACGAGGGGGGCGACAAGATGGCTGACGAGGGGGGTGACAAGATGGCTGACGAGGGGGGTGACAAGATGGCTGACGAGGGGGGGTGACAAGATGGCTGACGAGGGGGCGACAAGATGGCTGACGAGGGGGGCGACAAGATGACTGACGAGGGGGGTCGACAAGATGGCTGACAGAGGGGACGACAAGATGGTTGACGAGGGGGGTGACAAGATGGTTGACGAGGGGGGTGACAAGATGGCTGACGAGGGGGGCGACAAGATGGCTGACGAGGGAGGCGACAAGATGGCTGACGAGGGGGGTGACAAGATGGCTGACGAGGGGGGTGACAAGATGGCTGACGAGGGGGGTGACAAGATGGCTGACGAGGGGGGCTGACAAGATGGCTGACGAGGGGGGGTGACAAGATGGCTGACGAGGGGGGCGACAAGATGGCTGACGAGGGGGGTGACAAGATGGCTGACGAGGGGGCGACAAGATGGCTGACGAGGGGGGGTGACAAGATGGCTGATGAGGGGGGCGACAAGATGGCTGACGAGGGGGGCGACAAGATGGCTGACGAGGGGGCGACAAGATGGCTGACGAGGGGGGTGACAAGATGGCTGACGAGGGGGGTGACAAGATGGCTGACGAGGGGGGCGACAAGATGGCTGCGAGGGGGGTGACAAGATGGCTGACAAGGGGGGCGACAAGATGGCTGACGAGGGGGGGTGACAAGATGGCTGATGAGGGGGGCTGACAAGATGGCTGACGAGGGGGGCGACAAGATGGCTGACGAGGGGGGCGACAAGATGGCTGACGAGGGGGGCGACAAGATGGCTGACGAGGGGGGCGACAAGATGGCTGACGAGGGGGGTGACAAGATGGCTGATAAGGGGGCGACAAGATGGCTGACAGGGGGGCGACAAGATGGCTGACGAGGGGGGCGACAAGATGGCTGACGAGGGGGGGTGACAAGATGGCTGACGAGGGGGGTGACAAGATGGCTGACGAGGGGGGCGACAAGATGGCTGACGAGGGGGGCGACAAGATGGCTGACGAGGGGGGCGACAAGATGGCTGACGAGGGGGGGTGACAAGATGGCTGACGAGGGGGGCGACAAGATGGCTGACGAGGGGGTGACAAGATGGCTGACGAGGGGGGACAAGATGGCTGACGAGGGGGGTGACAAGATGGCTGACGAGGGGGGCGACAAGATGGCTGACGAGGGGGGCGACAAGATGGCTGACGAGGGGGCGACAAGATGGCTGACGAGGGGGCGACAAGATGGCTGACGAGGGGGGTGACAAGATGGCTGACGAGGGGGGCGACAAGATGGCTGACGAGGGGGTCGACAAGATGGCTGACGAGGGGGCGACAAGATGGTGACGAGGGGGGTGACAAGATGGCTGACGAGGGGGGCGACAAGATGGCTGACGAGGGGGCGACAAGATGGCTGACGAGGGGGGTGACAAGATGGCTGACGAGGGGGGCGACAAGATGGCTGACGAGGGGGGGGTGACAAGATGGCTGACGAGGGGGTGACAAGATGACTGACGAGGGGGCGACAAGATGGCTGACGAGGGGGTGTGACAAGATGCTGATAGGGGGCGACAAGATGGCTGACGGAGGGGGGCGACAAGATGGCTGACGAGGGGGGCGACAAGATGGCTGACGAGGGTGGTGACAAGATGGCTGACGAGGGGGTGACAAGATGCTGACGAGGGGGGCGTGACAAGATGGCTGACGAGGGGGTGCGACAAGATGGCTGACGAGGGGAGGCGACAAGATGGCTGACGAGGGGTGTGACAAGATGTTGACGAGGGGGGTGACAAGATGGCTGACGAGGGGGGTCGAAAAGATGGCTGACGAGGGGGCGACAAGATGGCTGACGAGGGGGGCGACAAGATGGATGACGAGGGGGGTGACAAGATGGCTGACGAGGGGGGTCACAAGATGGCTGACGAGGGGGTGACAAGATGGCTGACGAGGGGGGGCGACAAGATGGCTGACGAGGGGGGTGACAAGTGGCTGATGAGGAGGGTGACAAGATGGCTGAAAAGGGGGGCGACAAGATGGCTGACGAGGGGGGCGACAAGATGGCTGACGAGGGGGGCGACAAGATGGCTGAGGAGGGGGGCGACAAGATGGCTGACGAGGGGGGTGACAAGATGGCTGACGAGGGGCGTGACAAGATGGCTGACGAGGGGGGCGACAAGATGGCTGACGAGGGGGGCGACAAGATGGCTGACGAGGGGGGCGACAAGATGGCTGACGAGGGGGGCGACAAGATGGCTGACGAGGGGGGCAACAAGATGGCTGACGAGGGAGGCGACAAGATGGCTGACGAGGGGGGAGACAAGATGGCTGACGAGGGGGGCGACAAGATGGCTGACGAGGGGGGCGACAAGATGGCTGACGAGGGGGGACGAAAGATGGCTGACGAGGGGGGTGACAAGATGGCTGACGAGGGGGGCGACAAGATGGCTGACGAGGAGGGCGACAAGATGGCTGACGAGGGGGGTGACAAGATGGCTGACGAGGGGGACGACAAGATGGCTGACGAGGGGGGGTGACAAGAGGGCTGACGAGGGGGGTGACAAGATGGCTGACGAGGGGGGTGACAAGATGGCTGACAAGGGGGGCGACAAGATGGCTGACGAGGGGGGCGACAAGATGGCTGACGAGGGGGGTGACAAGATGGATGACAAGGGGGGTGACAAGATGGATGACAAGGGGGGGTGACAAGATGGCTGACAAGGGGGGCGACAAGATGGCTGACGAGGGGGGGCGACAAGATGGCTGACGAGGGGGGTGACAAAATGGATGACAAGGGGGGTGACAAGATGGATGACAAGGGGGGTGACAAGATGGCTGACAAGGGGGCGACAAGTTGGCTGACAAGGGGGGTGACAAGATGGCTGACGAGGGGGGTGACAAGATGGATGACAAGGGGGGTGACAAGATGGATGACAAGGGGGGTGACAAGATGGCTGACAAGGGGGGCGACAAGATGGCTGACGAGGGGGGCGACAAGATGGCTGACGAGGGGGGTGACAAGATGGCTGACTGGGGGGACAAGATGGCTGACGAGGGGGGCGACAAGATGGCTGACGAGGGGGCGACAAGATGGCTGACGAGGGGGGTGACAAGATGGATGACGAGGGGGGACAAGATGGATGACAGGGGGGTGACAAGTGGCTGACAGGGTGACAAGATGGCTACGAGGGGGCGACAAGATGGCTGACGAGGGGGTGACAAGATGGCTGACGAGGGGGGCGACAAGATGGCTGACGAGGGGGGTGACAAGATGGCTGACGAGGGGGTGACAAGATGGCTGACAGGGGGGTGACAAGATGGATGACGAGGGGGTGACAAGATGGCTGACGAGGGAGGCGACAAGATGGCTGACGAGGGGGGTGACAAGATGGCTGACGAGGGGGGCGACAAGATGGCTGACGAGGGGGGAGACAAGATGGATGACAAGGGGGGTGACAAGATGGCTGACAAGGGGGGACAAGATGGCTGACGAGGGGGGCGACAAGATGGCTGACGAGGGGGGCGACAAGATGGCTGACGAGGGGGGTGACAAGATGGATGACAAGGGGGGTGACAAGATGGCTGACAAGGGGGGTGACAAGATTGGCTGACGAGGGGGGTGACAAGATGGCTGACGAGGGGGGCGACAGATGGCTGACGAGGGGGGTGACAAGATGGCTGACGAGGGGGGCGACAAGATGGCTGACGAGGAGGGTGGACAAGATGGCTGACGAGGGGGGTGACAAGATGGCTGACGAGGGGGGGGGACAAGATGGCTGACGAGGGGGGTGACAAGATGGCTGACGAGGGGGGGTGACAAGATGGCTGACGAGGGGGGCGACAAGATTGGCTGACGAGGGGGGTGACAAGATGGATGACGAGGGGGTGACAAGATGGCTGACGAGGGGAGGCGACAAGATGGCTGACGAGGGGGGTGACAAGATGGCTGACGAGGGGGGCGACAAGATGGCTGACGAGG